GGCGTGTCTGCGGTGATAACGGCAGACTGGGTGGGACTAAAAAGTTCAACCAATCAATTCCAACTTTGCAAGATCTTTTTTTTCCCGCGAGAAGTTGAAATTGATTCATTGATTGATTGAACCTTTTTTTTTTGCACACGGCGGCGGAGGCCTAAAGCCAAAAAGGTTTATAAAACCCAGCTGAAAGCCTAGGACTGGGGCGACAGCGCGCATGCCCACAGAGAGAGCTCTACGTGCCGCCTCTGGCACCCGTGCCATAGGTTCGCCACCATGGCCCTATACCATTTCAGACAAATGGCTGTCCAGTCTTTTCTTAAAAACTTCCAGTGTTGGAGCATTCACCGCTTCTGGAGGCAGGTTGTTCCACTGGTTAATTGTTCTCACTGTCAGGAAGTTTCTCCTTAGTTCTAGGTTGCTTCTCTCCTTGATTAGTTTCCATCCGTTGCTTCTCGTCCTGCCTTCAGCTGCTTTGGAGAATAGCTTGACTCCCTCTTCTTTGGGGCAGCCCCTGAGATACTGGAACACTGCTATCCTGTCCTCCCTCGTCCTTCTCTTCATTAAACGAGACATACCCAATTCCAGCAACCGTTCCTTATATGTTTTAGCCTCCAGTCCCGATCATCTTTGTTGCTCTTCTCTACACTCTTTCTAGAGTCTCAACATCTTTTTTACATCGTGGTGACCAAAACCGGATGCAGTATTCCAAGTGTGACCTTACCAAGGCATTGTAAAGTGGTAGTATTCTGTTATAGTATTCCCACGGTCACGTGATCAAAATTGAGATGCTTGGCAACTGACTCGTGTTTATGATGGCTGCAGTGTCCCAAAATCATGCCATCACCGTTTGCAACCTTATGACGGGCAAATTCAATGGGGAAGCCAGATTCACTTAACAACCGGGTTACTAACTTCGCAATTCCAGATAGGTGGCTTACACGGAGAGGTCCTTCGTTTTGATTTCCAAACAACAACCCCGTGAGGGTTTTTGGGGCAGAAAGAGGCTGTAGGCAGGTCCTCAACCTACAACCATTCGTTTAGTGACTGTTCAAAGTTACGACAGTGCTGAAAAAAGGAAAGTGTGACCAGTTTTCACACTGACAACCGTTGCAGCATCCTTGTGGTCACATGATCAAAATTCAGACACTTGGCAACTGACTCATATTTATGACGGTTTCAGTGTTCTAGGGTCACGTGGTCCCCTTTGGCGACCTTCAGACCAGCAAAGTCAATGGGGGGAAGTCAGATTCACTTAACAACCGTGTTACTAACTTAACAACTGCAGTGATTCACTTTACAACTGTGGCAGGAAAGGTTGCAGAATTACTTAAACAATTGTCTTGCTTAGCAAATGGAAATCTGGGGCTCAACTGTGGTCGTAAGCCAAAAGGACTACCTGTAATTGCTCCCAGTTTAAGGTTGAACTTAAATCTGGTTCCGTCCAGTCCCGATCCAACACTTTTAACTATACACTACAGCAGTGGTGGCGAACCTATGGCACGCGTGTCAGAGGCGGCACTCAGAGCCCTCTCTGTGGGCACTTCTCTGAATTGCTAACGGCGGGCTGCGGAGCCCCAGAGTGTGCCGGCCGAGGGGCCGGCAGGTTGTGGCTGCTGACGGACACTGTCGACCCCCATGCGCTCGCTGGCCTCTTGTGTGGGGGCTGATGGTGTCAGGCAGCGGCCGCCCTGGCCCCTGCCTTGCCTTGCCCTGAGATAATGGCACCCCCACCCTGCCTTGCCTCACCCCGCAGGACGAGCTTCCTACCCACCATCCCACCTGCCAGAGACCCCCTGGATCTCCCCCAACCCTGCCCGGCCCCCACAGGCGTCCCTCCCCACCAGCAACATTGAGGTGACCACGCCCACCTTGGCCACACCTATCCAGTCTGCCATGACCACCACAGCCACGCCCACCCAGTAGGCCATGCCCATCTGGCACCCAGCAATAAATAAGTGGGTTTTGGGTTGCAGTTTGGGCACTCGGTCTCTAAAAGATTCACCATCACTGCACTACAGCAGGGCTTTTCAACCAGGGGTACGGGGACCACCTGTGGTACATTGGCACCTGGCAGGTGGTACGCAACCATCCTAGAAAAGTGGTAGCGGGGGAGGGGAATGAGCTGAACCGGTGGCAGCACCGCACAAACCTGAGTGAGAGATAGCTGGAGCTGCAGGGCTCAGTGGAAGCGCCAGGATCAGCGCCAGGGTCCAGCTGGAGCTCGGCACTGATCCTTGCACTTCTGCTGAGCCCAGAAGAAGCGCCGATCAGCTGGAATGTTGCAGCATTTCCAGGGTCTTGTGATTTATATTCAGATGCTTGGCCACTGATTCATATTTATGACGGTCACAGTGTCCCAGAGTCATGCAAAGTGACCAAAACCTGTTGCAATCACCCAGCAGACAGGGGAAATAAAAACCAAACACCCCCCAACCCACCCCCGCTGCCAATCCTCAACAGAAATGCTCACAACAATGAAAACCTTGGAGGAAGAACACAGCCGGGCGGGCAGGCAGGTGTCTTGCTCGGCTGTGGCTTGGGGGGCACTTTTTTCAGTGCCATTGTAACTTCAAACAGTCACTAAGCGAACTGTTCTAAGTCGAGGACTACCTGTACTTTATCACTTTTTTCCTTTTTTGGGGGGGTCATCAAGTTTTTGACACCTTGCTAGGCGACTGGTGGTACTCGGATGTTGCCATATCCTAACAGTGGTACAATGGGTGAACAGGTTGAAAAGCCCTGCACTACAGCATCAATGGCTAATTCTCTTCCCTCCCTTTTCTTTGTGTCAATTTTTGGATCTCAACCCGGCGACAAGAGAAACTGCTTACTTCAAACCGTTTTTCCCCCCGGAGAAAGTAGCATTCTGAAAACAAAGCATGGAAAATGAAGACCAACTGCGAAACTTGGTGCAGAATTTTACTTTTCTCCCAATTCAGAAGGGATTGATGGAAATTCCTTTTTGTACGTTTCCCCCAAACAGACGCACTCGTGGGGGGAAAAAATCCCGTGTCCTTCTTAGGCTACCTTAGGACCGACTGCTGAAAGTAAGAACGAACAACAGGCAGACTGCAAAGCGTCAGTTATAGTCCGAGGAAGACATGAAGTTTTTCTGACCAAAAACACTGCCTGTAGGATTATAAACATCCTGACAAGCATATAATCACCAGTGTAAACAGCCCTGTGAGCTGTAAACATNTTCGGCATGACTCTTTGCTTCCATTCTGCGAAAAGCAGATGTGCAGTTGTGCGAATAAGACTGACTCATAGACGCCTGTTTACTCTGCATCTACAAGAGATACAAAATTGGGGTTTTCTTGGCACTGAATTTCTTGGATTATCGTGAGAGCAGATTTTTTTTTTTTAACAGGGATTCATGTGCTCGCGGGCTGCAGTTTGGTGTTTTTTTTTTAATGGTACCCACGATATTTGTTCCTAAACATTGGTTCTTCAGACTCCAACCAGTATTTTAATTTTAAAAAAAAAATTCATTTCTTGCAGAAATGTAAACAATCACAGCTAGTCCTCAATCTACAACAGTTCAAAGTCACAACATCACTGAAAAAAGACACTTGGGTTCATTTTTCACACTTGCAACCGTGGCAGCCTCCCCGTGGCCACGTGATCAAAACTTGGACACTCGGCAACTGGCATGTACTTATGACAGTTGCAGTGTCATAAATGTGATCGCCGTTTGTGACTTTCTGACAAGCAAACCCAATGGGGAAGCCAGATTTACTTAACAACCGTGTTGCTCACTTAACGATGGCAGGGCTTACCTTTAACAACTGTGGCCAAAAAAAAAGATTGTAAAATGGGGCCAAATTCACTTCACAACTGTCTCATTTCACAACTGAGTGTGGTCGTAAGTCGAAGTCTACCTAGTATTTTCTATTTTTACCGCAACTACGATTACGGAAACCAGAAAAGTTATAGGAGACGGGTAGAAAAGACCATAATTAATTACAAGGGCGAGGATGGTGACATTTGTTCAGAAAAAAATATATATACTGTGAAGGAAAGCAGACGTTATTTCGGAGACCAAAACAGGAGCAATCTCTGTCCCAAATTCATTGCAGACAGAGGTTCACACTCTACATCAGACAGGAACACGGTCTGGCCCACACAGGATCTGTCACAATGAGCCAATTAAGTCTTTTAAGGCTCAACTGGGCTCCTTGCTGTCTTTATTATAACAAGCCAACAAGGCCATAGAGCAGTGGTGGCGAATCTATGGCACGCGTGCCAGAGGCGGCACTCAGAGCCCTCTTTGTGGGCACGTGCGCCATGCCCCGGAGATGGCAACCATCCCTCTTCAAGTAGCCACCTGCTAACTCGCCGAGGTCCCACGTGGCCGGATGCATCCCAGCATGGCTGGTTTCCCTCCCTCCCGTCCCATCCTTCCTGGCCTCACATGCTCTCCTTTTCCCGGGCACTGCATCACCTCTTCAGCTGTCGGCCAACTGTCCAGCTCAGAGGCGGCTTCTCTGAACTGCTGGCGGCGGGCTGCGGAGCACCAGAGTGCGCCGGTCGAGGGGCCGACAGGCTGTGGCTGCTGACGGACACTATCGGCCCCCATGCGCTCGCTGGCCTGTGTGTGCGGGGGCCGATGGTGTCAGGCAGCAGTTGCCCCGGCCCCTGCCTCGCCTTGCCCTGTGACAATGGCACCCCCACCCTGCCTCGCCTTGCCTCACCTCACCCCGTAGGACGAGCCTCCTGCCCACCGCCCCACTTGCCAGAGACCCCCTGGAACTCCCCCAACCCTGCCTGGCCCCCACAGGCTTCCCTCCCCACAAGCAACATCGAGGTGACCATGCCCACCTTGGCCACACCCACCCAGTCTGCCATACCCACCACGGCCACGCCCACCCAGTGGGCCACACCCACCTGGCACCCGGCGATAAATAAGTGGGTTTGGGGTTGCAGTTTGGGCACTCGGTCTCTAAAAGGTTCGCCATCACTGCCGTAGAGCAAACCCGCCCCTCTGGATGTAATCATCTTACCCAGAAGATCCGATGCTTTTGCACACAGCAAGGAGAGGCCTCTTCTCGGCGAAGTTATCACTCTTCTCGCGATCTGAAAGGAGCAGAACACAAGAGACACGTTGGTTACTCATCTTTGCTGCCCTGAATGATTAAACCAGACCAGAGATCAAATGGGTTAAAAAGCTGCTATCGTTGAATTGAATTGATTTGAATTGAGTACTTCATTTAGGTAAATGTGATTTAGACACATAAGGAATTTGTTTCCGGGTACGGAACCATTCGGTCTTACTTGCAAAGCAACGGAGAGAATAATACGGTAATAGTAATACTACCAGTAATGGGTGTGAAGTGAAGAAGATAATAAAAAGGATAAATAACAATACTATAGCCGCGCTGTATGTGTTAACATGTGTGCACGTTAGATAGAACTAAACGTATTAAAGCTAAATACAGGGCACAGTTTTAAAGGGCCATTACTGTTTTTTGCTTCACAAAGCTACAAATGGCTCACACTGACATAGGCAGACCATGTTTGTAAGTACAGTTACTTTGGTTCACGTCAGAGGGGTCCAACCTTGGCAACTTTAAGGCTTGTGCCATGCTGGCTGAGGAATTTGGAGAGTTGAAGTCCACAGGTCTTAGATGGAAGACCTAGTTTGGATGATCAAGAGCCCCTCATTTCAATCCTGAGCTACAAATATTCTCCTTTATTGGAAATCTCTTCTAAAAAAAACCCCCTCCTGTATTGGAGCACCCATAACTTCTGGAGGCAGGTTGTTCCACTGGTTAATTGTTCTAACTGTCAGGAAGTTTCTCCTTAGTTCTAGGTTGCTTCTCTCCTTGATTAGTTTCCATCTGTTGCTTCTTGTCCTGCCTTCAGGTATTTTGGGAGAATAGGTTGTCTCCCTTTTCTTTGTGGCAGCCCCTCAAATATTTGAAGACTGCTGTCATGTCACCCCTAGTCCTTCTCTTTGTTTCTCAGCCTCGGCCACTTTCAGATGGGTGGACTTCAGCTCCCAGAATTCCCCAGCCAATCCAATGCCTGGGATTTCTTGGAGGGCAAAATCTTCTTCTCAATGCTCAAGGTTACTTTCCAAAGCTGGTTTCTTATCCCTTCCAATCTATTGTAGCAGGAAACAGGAACAAAGTCTTGGATACCTGCCCAAAACCTTCATGGTCTCCTTTTGAAGGTCAAGTTAAGGCTGATGAGTCTCGTTCTCACACGTCCAAGTCTCCCACCTCCTTCTCAAGGCTAGTAGGTCTTCAGCAGCAGAGTTTTTCAACCTTAGTTGTCAAGATTGGACACCCCTGGTTGAAGCATACTAAGAATGCTAAAAATGAGCGATGACATCACATGAGCTATCACCTTAAACTCTTTAACAGTCTTGAATCAGATTAGTCTGAGGATCACTGTCTTCTCCAAATGGAGATCGGGCTCCAAGGCCCTTGTCTGTCTGTCTGTCTGTCTCTCTTTCTCTCTTTCATTAATACATTTCTCTCTCACCTAATTAGGTACAATTGATAATTGAGGATTATAGCTAGATTTCTGCTTAGCCCAGCAGGCTTTTTCTCAATTTCACAGTTTCCTTGTTCTTAGATTGTTTTTGAAGTCATTTCTGTTCAGGGGTGCATTTCATAATTCTCTCTCTCTCTCTCTCTCTCTCTCTCTCTCTCTCTCTCTCTCTCTCTCTCTCTCTGTGTGTCTTTCTGTCTATCTATCTATCTATCTATCTATCTATCTATCTATCTATCTATCTATCTATCTATCTATCTATCTATCTATATCTATCATCTCCTGGAACTATCTCCTGGATCTAGTCTGTCTGTCTGTTTCTCTATCTGTCTGTCTGTCCGTCCGTCCGTCTGTCCGTCCGTCCGTCCGTCCATCCATCCATCCATCCAATGATCTATCAATCTATCCATCCATCCATCCATCCATCCATCCATCCATCCATCATCTATCCGTCCTTCCTTCCTTCCATCCATCCATCCATCCATCCATCCATCCATCCATCCATCCATCCATCCATCCATCCATCCATCCATCCATCCATCCATCCATCCATCCATCTATCTATCTCTATCCATCCATCATCTATCCATCTATCCATCTATCTATCTATCCATCCGTCCGTCCGTCCGTCCGTCCGTCCGTCCGTCCGTCCGTCTCTATCTATCTATCTATCTATCTATCTATCTATCTATCTATCTATCTATCTATCTATCTATCTATCTATCTATCTATCTATCCATCCATCCATCCATCCATCCATCCATCCATCCATCCATCCATCCATCTATCTATGCTTGCATGTATAATTTATTTTGTATTTTCCTGTATATATCTTATCTGATATATTTTTATCACGACCAGAGATATTTTCACAAAGTGCCCCCCAAAGAATGAAGGGGTTGAGCCTAAGATCTTATAAGCAGCTACTCAGGAATCTCCACAGACTGAGAATCTCCATAGACATTTAGCTACTCGGGAAGCTAGCTTGGCACAAATACTTCTTTCAGGTTTAACTGAAGTTGTGAAGCAGGAGGGTTTTTCCGTATACAGCTAGTCAGAGGTGGGATTCATATACCTGAACAACCAGTTCTCTGCATGGATGCCACTTCCGGAAGTCCGTTCTGAACCGGGGGAGGCCTCCCAAGCCCAGAACAACCCACCCAAAGTACGTGGAGGCCACTTAGAACGGACTTCTGGAAGTGGCATCCACGCACTTCGGGTGGGCCGTTCTGGGCCTGGGAGGCCTCCCAGCTCAGAACAGACTTCCGGAAATGGCGTCCACACACTTTGGGTGGGCTGTTCTGGGCTTTGCGAAAAAGGGCATCAGCCGGTTCACTGAAATCAACAAAAAATTAGCTACCAGTTCTACTGAACCGGTGCGAACCGGCTGAGTCCCACCCCTGCAAATAGCTCTTGATTTACAACCGTTCATTTAGTGACTGAACAGCACTGAAAAAAGTGACTTATGACCAGTCCTTGAATTTACAACTATAGCACTGTTCACACGAACAAATCTGGGCGCTTGGGAACAGGCATATATTTACAATGTTGGCCATGTCCCGGGGCAATGTGACAGCTATCTGTGACCTTCCAAACCAAATTATCACTGCTAGTGATAATTAGCGATCCATAAATGAATGAGATAGAGCAACTGAACAATATTCAACTCTGTTTAAGTGTTTCTGTTACACTAAAAGAAAATCTAAAAATAATAATAAATAAATGGGAGGAGGGGGAGGAGGAGGAGGAGGAGGAGGTGGTGGTCTGGTTCATTGATACCGCAATACCAGGTGATGTACGAATGGAAGAGAAACCACTAGAAAAAAATAACAAAATACCGTGATCTGCAAACTAAAGTTGAGTGATTGTGGAGGAAGAAATCAAAGGTTGTACCAATAGTAATAGAAGCCCTTGGAGCAATACCCAAAGGGTT